AACATCCTTGCGGAAGGGGCAATAGCGCTATCAGTGACGCTTAGCGGAGGTGCGCTGTTTGCTAGTTGAAAACCACTCCAATTCCCGTCAAGTTTGATCGTCAAGGTCATTCTTGCAATTTTTACGCGGGCCTCGGCCCAACTGAGTCTAGTAAGTGGGATGCCGCTGCCAAGCGTGCTTTGGCGCCTGGGGCATGTGCATGTGTGGCATGCTGCTGCCAGAAGACACTGCTGCGGAATGAAGAACATTGGGACAGCGGCCAGGACGAAAGAAAGCAAGCAGGGGGATATCAATAGTGAAGGGCCATCCGTGGCACTGGTGATGCCGGGAGGGAGCAGGGTAAGCACCTTTTTTGCTCATTGCCCAGTGGATTCCCTTCGGGGATCATCCGATAAAATTGAAACGATACAGAGAAGATTAGCATGGCCCCTGCGCAAGGATGACACGCACAAATCGAGAAGTGTAACAAGTTTTTTGCTCATGCGTGACTGAATCTATGTATGTATGGGTGTGGAGGCCTGCCTCGAGTCTTCCCTTACCTTAGCCAAGTCTCTCCTTTGCTGCGCTGCAATTTCCATAGCCTCAAGGCCTGCCTCGAGGCCTGCCTCGAAGCTTGCCTCATCCTAGCCAAGTGTCTATTTTGCTCCACTTTCCATAGCATCAATGGCAATTTCCATAGCCTCGTGGCCTGCCTCGAGGCTTGCCTCATCCTAGCCAAGCACGTCTCTCCTTTGCTGCAATTTCCATAGCCTCGAGGCCTGCCTCGAGGCTTGCCTCATCCTAGCCAAGCACGTCTCTCCTTTGCTGCAATTTCCATAGCCTCGAGGCCTGCCTCGAGGCTTGCCTCATCCTAGCAAAGTCTCTCCTTTGCTGCAATTTCCATAGCCTCGAGGCCTGCCTCGAGGCCTGCCTTGCGGCTTGCCTCCTCCTAGCCAAGTGTCTGTTTTGCTCCTTTAGGGTTTAGGGTCTAAAGCTCATTATGATTGAGAGATATTATGCGATGCAACATACATATTTGTTTATATCCCACCCGCCCAAGGTTCCCTTTTTATTAGTGCCATACACCTTTACATTCATTCAGCTGCTGCTTGCCTCACAACTTTCCCCGTCCCAAACAACGAAGGCCGAGGGGAAAGCCTGTCCCACAAGCTTCTAACCCTTCAGGGAAACCTCAAAAAGGCTCCTGGCCAGGATGTAGCCCAAAAGGGCTGTTTCCCAAGGATCCCAGAAGGCACCTTTAATTGCTGGCGTGCAAGCCACCAAAGTCCCAAAATCTGGCTCCAAAAGGCTCCTGGCCATGATTTGGCCTAAAGAGACCGTTTCCCAAGGATGCCAGAAGGCAGTTTTAATTGCAGGGCTCCAAGCCACCAGAATCCCAAAATCTGGCTCCAAAAGGCTCCTGGCCAGGATTTGGCCCAAAAGGGCCGTTTCCTAGGGATCCTAGAAGGCAATTTTAATTGCAGGGCTCCAAGCCACCAGAATCCCAAAAGCTGTCTCCAAAAGGCTCCTGGCCAGGATTTGACCCAAAAGGGCCGTTTCCTAGGGATCCCAGAAGGCAGTTTTAATTGCAGGGCTCCAAGCCACCAGAATCCCAAAATCTGGCTCCAAAAGGCTCCTGGCCAGGATTTGGCCCAAAAGGGCTGTTTCCCAAGGATCCCAGAAGGCACCTTTAATTGCTGGCGTGCAAGCCACCAAAGTCCCAAAATCTGGCTCCAAAAGGCTCCTGGCCATGATTCGGCCCAAAGAGGCCGTTTCCCAGGGATCCCAGAAGGCAGTTTTAATTGCAAGGCTCCAAGCCACCAGAATCCCAAAATCTGGCGCCAAAAGGCTCCTGGCCAGGATTTGGCCCAAAACGGCTGTTTCCCAAGGATCCCAGAAGGCAGTTTTAATTGCAGGGCTCGAAGCCACCAAAGTCCCAAAAGCTGGGTTTTGACCCGAAACCCTTGAACACGGCAGGTTTTGGACCCTAAAACCTTCCAAAAGGATGGATCTAGCAGCCAAAACCAAGGGTTTTGACCCTAAACCCTGGAAAAATGCAGGTTTTGGACCCTTGGTAAGCCATTTCAGGACGGTGACCCCATTAGGGATTAAATATACATATGATATATAGATTTAGGGTTTAGGGTTTAGGGTTTGCAAAAGTAGTCGCGCGTGGGCGGGGGGCTGTCAATTCTGCTGGCACGCCCCCCGCTCGAAGCGCGCTCGCTCTGCTGAGTTAACCCACCCCAACCACCCAAGTTAAAAACTATTAGGGTTTAGGGTTTCATTCTAAGTGAAACCCTTGAAGGTTCCAGCCGGGTTCACTACCTTTTCAACAAACAGACTTTGGAAATAGGGGTTGGGAACCCCACCATGCTTGAGCGCATGTGGGAACCCACTCTTGGGGATGAAAAGAAGGCCCAGGTTGACAAGGCCCAGAGGCAAAAAGTACAACTTTTTGAAGCTCAAAGAAAGGCTAAAATTCATTGTTTTAGAGCCTGGAAAGGCTGAGAAAGGCTTAGGGAGCTCCAAAAGGCACTTTTAAGGCATTTAGCCAAGAGCGCCCTCCGTAACCCCAAAAAGCTCAGGGTTTGGGGTTATACTTTACTGGCTACGCCAGAGGGTGTAAGCCGTCCAGGCTTGGGCATGCTTGCTTTGCAGTTGTCCTGCTAGGCTTGACCCTAGCAGGCCCTTAGGTTCGTACTGGCGTCGAGGCAGAGCCTCGAGCCTGAAGGCTCGAGCGCCCATGTATATGGTCAGCGGCGCTCTCGCCTGTTTAGGGTTTATAGAAATTATATAGGGTTCATGTCCGCGAAAGTTTCTCGAAAAATTTTTGCGAAAAGTTTTTTGGGGTTTTGTTTTAATTCCAAAATTCAAAATGCCGCTGCAGGCTGCCTTTCCCAATCAATTCCTAGATGCCACTTGCATTTCTAAGCTTTAAACCGCAAATTTAAAATTTCAAGCCCTCGGATTTTTTCAAACTGCACGCTACCTTTCCCAATCAATTCCTAGATGCCACCAAAAATTTTAAGATTTAAAATTTAAAATTTCAAGCCCTCGAAATTTTCAGCTTTAAACCCTAAATTTCAAACTTTAAACTTTAAACTCAAACACACTTGTGAATTCTCGGCTAAAAACTTTCAACTTTGAAAAATACCTTCCCGGAAGCCTCCCAAAGGCTGTCAGTAGCCATAAAGCCTCCCAAGACTTCCCGGAATGTTCCCGGAAAGCTCCTATAAGCTCCCGCAAATGTTTTCAACCCCCAGAAGCTCCCAGAAGCATCCGGAGGCTCCCCAAAAGCTTCCCAGAAGGCTACCAGAAGCAACCGGGAAGCTTCAGGGCAGCCCCGATAAGGCCCAGGGTCAGGATTTGGCACGGCCCCTGTAAAACGAGCATTTTTTAATCTTGAAATCAGCTCCGTTTTGGTGTCTTGATATTTTGACATTCTATGCCTACCCAAAAGTTCCCAGAAAGCCACAAGGAAGCGTCCAGAAGAATTTTTTCAGCTTAAACCTTGAACTTGAAAATCTAAATTTCAACCTCTGAAATGAAATTTAAACTGTAGACTTAAAAAAACAACTTTCCCGGAAACCGCCCAAAAGCTTTCAGCAGCTTCAGGAACTTTGCTGAAGTGTCAAAATCAAGCTTTTAAAGTTTCAAAACCGGCAAGATTGGGGCAGAAGCGCTCCCACATTGCCAAAATTGAACGCGCAAGGCCTTAAACTTTGTAAACTTGAGCCCCTGGCCACTAAAAACTACCAAAATTGGAGCCCCAGTGCTGGAAAATTGCCAAGGTCAAAGTTGAAGCTTCAAAATAGCGAGGCTTGATCCCCAAAGCTTTAAACATTGCCAAAATTCAGCCGTAACGCAGCGCGTCCACTGCGCATGGGCCCGTGGAAAGCTAAAACCGGCAGGATCGAATGCCGAAAACCGCGCAGGTTCGAGCTTAAAAGCACGCTGCGGCAACGTGAACAAAATGGCCGGGACAACAAAAAGCAAAACCGCGCCAACGGCACAAGCCTCTTTTTCCAGCGCAATGACAAAATCGACGCCCTTGCCACTGCACGGCCCGCGCCAGAACCACAAAGCCACGGTCCCTATTGCGCTCAGATCATCTCCAACCAGCTCCAAAACAGGTCTGGCACCTTCTCTATGCCAAGCGGCTCTGCTTCTCCTTCCAATAGGACGCATACCTCTTGGTTGCGGCTTCGCAGCCGTCCTTGGGATGCTGCTGCCTTGCACGCGCTCATGGTCAGCGCAGCTGCGGCATCCGGAGATGGACATTGGAGACGCAGCATGGGCTCGCCGGCCAGCGTAGTGAACTTTGCTTCAAAGCGTTCAGCGGCAATTTGGGTGAGGTCGCAAGTCACAACAAATGTAGATGGCACTTCCCGCATTGCGATTTTCTTTGCTTCGTCAAATGCGGCCGTCTGAAGTTCCGGGGGCATTGCTGGATCTTCCGCGCGCACGGAATAAATCCAAATTTGGCAGCGCAGGAGCTTCGCTTCTGGGCGACAGCAAAGAAAGTCGCCGTCCACGAAGAGGTAGATGTCGTCCTCACGTTCCGCATCTACTGCTGGCGGGCGGCCTTCGGTCCAGCGCTCCAGCAGTTTGTCCAAACTCAGATCTGGGCACAACTCCTCCCAGCTTTGGGGGCGCCGCAAAACTTCGATCATCAAACCCTCGTCAAAGACATCGTCGATCACTGCATACTCAAAATGCCGTGGTGGTTCCATGGCAAACGGCGCAAGATGGCACCCTGTTCTATCCGGTTAGGTTTTGCGCTTGCGGTCTGGAGCCTCAGGCGCGCATCCACAGGACATCACAGAAGTCCACTGCTTTTCTGACAGCTGCGCGCCAAAAAAAGCTTGCACGCGCATCGCCAATGCACGCGCTTGCAGGGTCTGCTTCCTTTTGAGCCCGGCGCGGACGGCACAGGTCAACGGTGCACGGGCGCCTCTACTGTACCTAATTAGGGCGCTTCTGTGCAAGTGAAACCAACAAAAGTCATTCCCGAGCTATCAGGCGTCGGACGGGTGCGTGATGGCGTAGGTCAAGTGGGCTGCCAAAGAAGCCTCGAACTCTTCGTCGCTCATCCTATGAGGACCAATGTCCATAGAATCCAGCCTGTAGATGGCGCCGTCGTGGCCCCAGCGATAGGCGACCCAATGCTGATTGTGCCAGTTCTGCACCAAAGCTGGCACTAGGTGCGCTTGCTGCAGCGACCGGATTGGCGCATCGATGTTCAGCCTGTAGCCGCAGTTGAACAAAGCTGCGTAGAGGACTTGCACGGAGTACCAGCCCCCTGGGCGGACGTGCTCGTCTCTAGCATGGTCAATGCCTTGCAGTGCTTGTAAATAGCTCTGCGCAGCCGTTTCCATGTCCTGTGCTCTGAAGGCCGTGCGGCCCAAGGCGTTGTTGAACGCGTGCATGCCGCAGCGCGCCGCTTGCTGCCGCTGAAAAAAGAAGCACGGCGCGGGCGGTTCCAAGCCCGGCGGTGGGGGATCTGCTGGGGGTGGCAAGGGCGGCGGACTGTCCGGTGCTGGGGCTTCATCCTCGCTTCTGGGTGCCTTGGCTGGCGGCGGCGGCGCGGCAGCGCTCGAAGGCCTAGAGGTGGAGCGCTTGCCTTGGCTGGCGTTGGGCTTGGCTTTCGGCTTTGGGGCGCGCTTTGCTTTGGCTTTGGCTTTGGCGGCGCTTCTTGCCGGGCAGGATGGCCTGTGCTTCTTATATTGCACTGCATTGTCAGCGACCCAGCCGCAGCGCGGGCACGTCAGCTTGCCTTCCGCTGCATGGGCCTCCTTCTCTGCCGGCCCTCCTTGAGCACGCTGCTGCTCCTCGTCGTAGAGCCGCCAATCTGGTCGAGGCAATGTCTGGAGCAAGGCCTTGTAGTACGCATGGCTTTCGGCCGGGCGCACAACTTTTTCCCACAAGTCCTGCAGCGCCGCTTTCCTGAATGCACCGCCTCTTGCTTGCTGCTCCTTCAGTATCACAAGGGCCCGCTGCGCATTGACATTGAAACGGAGGCAGCTTTTGTCAAAGTGCTCCAAGGTACACAGGCTCTGTGTAGGGGAGCGGCTCAACGCCACATAGGCTTGCCCTTCTTGCTTGGCGTACTTGTCCAGCCGTACATGCGCGCCCGCGTGGTAGGTGGCTGCCTGGCTCTTGTGGATTGTCACTGCCTTGGCCAGCACCAGTGGGAATTGGCGCCTGTCTGCCTTGTTCCCGTTCTTGTCCTGAAACGGGGCAGTGCAGCGGTGAATGGCTACGCTGTTGGTTTCGTTCGCCGCCTCCCAATTGCTGCCTGCGCCTTTCTCGAACTTCACCCACACTTTCTGGACCTCCCGATTGCTGTGGGCATCGATGTGCTGCACCACCCCGCAGGCGCCGTTCGCCAAGCCATCCCGGACGTCCAGGTTCTTGCGCAGCATGACCTTAGCACCTTCGGCTAGCTGCAGCAGGAATTCCAGGCCGCCCGTGTTCTCTGCTTCAGGCCATGCTTTCTCTGGGGGCAGTGGCGCGCCGGAGCCAACGGAGATGTCCACGGCAGGGCAATCGAAGAGGTCGGCATTGGTGCTCTCCACATAGTCGTGGATATAGCGCCGGTTGCGCTTCACTACAGCTGCGCGGGTGGCGAAAAGGTGGACTGCACCGGGCGCGGGCTGGCGCTTGCCGTGCTTTGGCAGGACGAGGCCTTCTAAGGTTCGGATATCTTCGTCGGTCCATTGGCCCAGGCGCACTCGCGCCAATAGCGCTGCCCACGCTGGATCCCGGGCTGCCCGCTGATTGCCTTCCAGCTCGCAAAGCTCGAACAGGTTCCATAACTTGCTCGCAAAGATGGGCCGGCCTGCGCGCAAGCGGGCAAAGATCAAACAGATAACAGCATAATATTGTTCGGGTATGTCTTGTGTTGAGTTTCGAGAGCAGCGCGCTGGATGCACCTGGCCTCCGGGCGGCGGTAGCTGGTAGAGGTCCCCGATGAAGATGACGTGCACGCCTCCAAACGGGTGATGGGGCATGTCTCTTGCAAGCCGCAGGTTCTGATCCATGCGTTCCAAGATTTCCGCAGACACAAAGCTCATCTCATCCACCATGAGGACGTCCGCATGTTTCCAGATGCTTTGCAAATTAGCTAGCTGTTCGCCCCTGGGCAGCGGCAAATCACAGACTTTCCCGTAGCTTTGGTTCTGGACTGGGAGCTGGAGGCTTGTATGCAAGGTGGTGCCGTTGATGTTGAAGGCTGCCACACCGGTAGGCGCTGCCAGCACAACACCCCGCTCGCTCTGCGCAGCATGTGCGCGGCTGCTCGGGTCACCACAGATTTCCCGCAGCCACCTGGCCCATGCACCAGGAGGCGGAGCCGTTGCAGGTTGCTTTTGTCCTTGGGGCTGGGCCCTTCCAGCAGAGCGCAAGATGTATTCCATGCAGTGCCGCTGCTTCAGGACTTCTGGGCTTGGGTTCTCGACGGTCAGCATGTTGAACGCTTCCTGGCGCATGGCAAGCATTGAATGAAGGAAGGGATGAAAGCATGAAACCGTAGGACCCAACACACAGCTTCGCCATTGCCCAAGCCCTTTCCCCCGGTCTGCCGGCCCTCCCTCGCCTCGCCGCCTTCCACAGGTGCAAAGATGTCAGTGGCCGGGCCGGTGGGTACCGTGCTGGGCGCCATGAAGTCGATGTCTTCGCCGTGCCGCTCCTTGAGGGCTTGGATGATCTTCATGGCGTCCTCATAGTTCTCTTCTTCTGCCCGCGTGTGGGTCCAGTCAGCGTTGTCCAGCTTTGCCTTGAGGAACATCACGGCCTGTACTGCTTGCAGCTCCCTCGCCGCTTGCACTGTTCCGTCCAGCTTGGGGAAGCACAAGGAGTGCAGAAAGGTGGGGTGCTGATCCCGGTCCGTGGCGATCCGGTGAAACGCTGCTGCATGGCTGCCGCCGTCTGCCTCCGTCAGCCAATCTCCTGGCTCGACCCATCTGAGGTACAAGAGGAGCTTGGAGTAGTAGAACTCCTCTGGTTGCAGGTCCGGGCTGTAGTGGCGGTGGCCGACGATGGCCGGCCGCTTTCTTGGCGCGACCATGTCTGGATTGAAGACCTTGCCCCCGAAGCGAAAACCAGCCGCAAAATCGAAGAAGGTGACCTCGCACCAGAGCCTTGCCACCGGCGCCTTTCCTTCAACCGGCACCATGACTTCGGCATCCGCAAAATGCTGCTGCAGCTGTTGGTACCACCGGTGCGCTGCTGGCATGCATCCCCCTGCCTCTTGTCGTCTGTCCTTGTATGCAGCCGGGTCTTGCAAGGCTTCCTCTTCCTCTGCCTGGGGCACCGACAAGGTCCATGTACCGGGCGGTCCTACCTGAAGCCACACGTTGTCCCTGGAGAAGAACACCGGCGAATAGCCCAAGATGTAGTGCACGGCTTCGAAGGTGGAGGTGGTGCGGCCCTGCGTTGCCGCGTGCGCGGCCTTGTACACTTCGTTGGTGGTGAGGTCCACCCGGCCCGCGTCCTGCAAGTAGCTCTGCAGAATATTGTCCACGCGCTTCTTTGCCATCAAGTCCTCCTCTGATTTGAAGCAGTAGCCCAAGATGTATTTGCTGGCGCAGTTGAGCTCGCAAACTACCTGCAGGTCCATGCTGGCACGCCAGAAGCGGAGAATGGCCTCGTTGTATTGCCCCACAAAGCCATCATCTTCGTGCCGCCGGGCCGCCATACTGGATTTCCAGCGGCTGGAAAATTGCTCCTGCGGGGTGCGCCAGCGGGTCTGTTTTTCCGGGGCCCTCGGAAAGCCAAAGCGGCACGTGCCCAGGGTGTATTTGCCGCAGTAGGGGCCGCAGGAATGCTCCGTCAAGGCGGCAAGCTTGGCCATGGCCGCGCGGTGCTCCGGGTCGCAGCGGGCATCATGCATCCAGCGATGGGCAGATTTGGTGCTGATGTACTTGTCGCTCAACTCTTCGGCGCAGGTTGGAACGAAACGGGCGCGCGCTTCCTCATCGGACCAGTCGACCTCTGCCTCCTGTTCCTCTTCCTCGTCGGCGGCGTCCTTCTCCGGCCGGCGCTTGCCGGTGACGTCGGGCACGTCCGTCCACAGGAGTATGTGCGCATGTGGATAGCCGCGCTTTTGCCATTCAATCCGGACGATGTAGTCCAAGACTTTGAAAGGCGGCTTGTCGGATTTCATGCAATGGCATCCCCCGCCTTGGCCCACGGCCGGCGCTGCATCCCAGCCTTCGTCCTCTCCGGGGCAGTCTTGCTCATCGGCACCACCGGCTGTGAAATCTGCAGCGCCGACCCAATGAAGAAGCTGCCGCAGGCCGTGCATGAATTGCCGGGCGACGATCGCGGGCATGGAGTTGCAAAGCTGGGTGGCCGTCATGCCGTTCCACCTGTAGTCCTCATACGTCTGGTAGTTGTAGAGGAGGCGGGCGACGTCTTCTTGATGCGCTCGGCCCTGCTGGCGGATGAGCTTGGCGGTGACGGCGGCTGCCAAGATGCCCGGCTGCCTGGCGTGGCACGTCAAGGTGAGGAAGAATTGGGGCTTGCCCAGCTGCTCGTACATGCCCACGGCGATGCCCCGCTTGGCGAAGAGGTATGGCTGGGTGCCTGGCAAATCCCGCAAGGCGGTGTAAATCTTGTGGGCAAAGTCGTCGAAGCGGGTGCCGAGCTGCGGCGCCAGCTGGTTCTTCATGCGGACGTTCACGTTGCCGGAGAGGCGCTTTTTCATGTGCTCCTCCAGCAGCCACATGATGTAGGCCGGGTCATTTTCGAAGCGGCCGTCTTGGCCAAGCAGCCGCTTGCGGGCATACACCGAGAACTTCACGTGGATGTCTGGTTGGTAGCCGCCCAGACCTTCGGGAAACAGGTGCGGAAAGAGCATGGGGTCGACGTCGACAAAGGTAGACTTGGCTTTGCGGCGGAGCTCCTGCAAGTCGGCCCGGTCAGCCTTGGGGATCGCAGGGTCGCGCGGCATCAGATAGGTGACCTCCAGCTCTTCCTCCTCAGCGCCCCCCTCTTCGTCCTCAAAGCCCTCATGCTGCATCGCGGCCGGCGCCTGATCCAGGATGGCGGCCATATCGGCCAAAGCTTTGGCAACAGCCAGGCTGTCTTTGTAGGCCACGTGGTGCGCCTGCAGGGCGCGCAAACCGGCCTGAAGGTGCTCCACCCGGGCCGTTGACGCCAGCATGCCTTGCACCCCGTTGACGTAGACCTCGCCATCTCCTCTCAGTTCTGCGCCGTCTAGGACATTGCAGAGGCAGGGCTCGTCCATGGGCACCACATACATCCTGCCCCATTGGGCGCTTGGGCCACCGGCCGGCAACTTGTCAATCAGCACCTGGTCCACCTTGGCCATTGCCAGGAGGCGCTTTTCTAAGGGGTTGAGGGCCGCCAGAGGTGCTGGGATCGGCGGCAGTGGTGGCAAGGTGTAGCTGGTCCTCTTCTCGCGGCAGTTCTTGCAGGTCAGCTTCCCCGTGGTTCTGGATGCGCAGCAGTGCCTGCCCGGGGTCAAGGTGCCGCACTCTTCGCAAGCCTTGGACAAGCCAAAGCGGCCCCATTTGCTGAGGAATTTCAGGTAGTCCTCCTTGACCATCTCAAAAGCACCGCCCTTGTCGAGCGACGGCCCGCAGTGTAAATTGCTTTCATCTGGCCGTCCTCCTTCACCCGGACACGGCCCGCGCCTACCAGCTCTCTTTTCTTCACGATCTTCTTTGCGTGCCTGCTTGTGAGCTCGTGCAGCAACATCCGCTGGCCGGCCGCCTTCCCCTGGGCAGGGTCCTCGCTCAGCTCCTCCCTTCTCTTCGCGTTCCTGTTTTTGGGCTTGCTTGCGCGCCTGCTTGTGAGCTCGTGCAGCAACATCCGCTGGTCGGCCGCCTGCTCCTGGGCAGGGTCCTCGCTCAGCTCCTCCCTTCTCTTCGCGTTCCTGTTTTTGGGCTTGCTTGCGTGCCTTTGCTGCAGGATCTTCAGGGCAAGGTCCTCGCTCCCCTGCGCCTTTTTCTTCGCGGTCTTCCTGCTTTTGGCGCTTGGCTTGCTGTTTCTCTTCAGCTTCTTCCTTCCTGCAGTCCTCGTTGCTGCACCAACCTTTGCCTCGGCCTTTCCGGGTACCAGCGCCACAGCGCTCACAGGGCGGCATGGCGGCGACCAGGTCCGAGAAGCGAAGGAAATGCAATATAATATTGAGGTGCATGTCTTAAAACCCTGCAGGCATGTGTCAAGGGCCTCTGGCTTGAACGAGTTTGGCTTGCACCGTGAGTGTGCTTCGGGTCCGTCTTCGAATTTGGGTTGTTCAAATGGTTGCGCCCGGGGTGGCAGATTGCGATGCAGCTTCGTGACAGATCATGAACTACAGCAAATGATTTTTTTTGCAGGCGAAACATGCACAACATCCAGGTCAGACACTATGCAGGCCGCGGGGCCAGCCTTTTTCCCAGCGACGAGCGGAGCAAGCTCAGCGGGTGTGGCCAAAAGGCTGCAGCAGCAAGCGCCAAAAGAGCAGGGCCTGCAGGGCACAGGGGTTAACAATTTAAAATGCGCATGAAAGCTTAAAAAAATAATTTCTTGAAAAGTGTATGGTGCATGAGGTTTCCGGGCGTGCGGCAGAGGGGCAGTTGCAGGAGGCAGCGCCAAAGCCACGATGAAGCAGTCCTGCAGTAGGGGTATCACCAGCTTCGTCTACGCGGTCATCTTTCCTGAGCGGGCGGGCCGCCAAGAAAATGCGTATTTGAATATATGCACCCCTATGTCTGTAACAATTTCTGGATGCGTAAGTAAAATTGGGCGGCAAAAGCTTTCATGGGGCCATCTACTTTTTGGCAAAGCTTGCCATCTTTGGAGAGAAAATATGTACACTTATGTTGCTTGGATTCTTGGTGGTATCTGGCACCTGCCTGTCTGTAAAGGTAACAATCGCGTGGATTTGCTCCGACTATATGTGACCTTGGCATTTTCAGAGTTAACAATTGATAGAAGAAAAACGGTATCGAAATGGAGGCAGTAGAACAAAGACGTCATACGCCTAGATTTCGGGGGCTTGCTCACGGTAAAAAGTGGAAATCCCGAAAACGACAGGACCTTGCTCATCTTTGCATAAAAGGGTTCTTAATTTGAAAAACAACAAAAGTCAAATGGGGGAAAGGCAACCGGACGCATAATAAGGCCAAGTTGCGGTGCTCTCGACGGCCCACCGATCTCCTAGCCCGGTTCCCTGCAAAGCCACGCAGGGGTGAAGAATTGCGAATGCACACGCTGGTCGTTTGGCTGGCACTTTTTTATTTCAGGGCATTTCTTTTATTACTAGCTATTGGTATCTATGCACAGGATTCATCAGGGCATAGTGTTGTAACCATTGGAGCGACATGGGGTCATGGTCGCCCAAAACGGAAAGGTAGAACACCAAACCTTTCACGGAATTGTGTTTCCAACCACCAGCGTTAAATGGGGTTCCGAAAACCCGTAACACATGGGGTAGAACACGTATCATGGGGGGCGAGGCGGCAAGGGACCTACTCACCCTGATTGTTTTTTTTGTGCCCTGCGGGCTTCAGGTTACTTGCTCCTGACACCCGGGCGCGCGAAGTCCAGGTGAACAGGGTTCTGTGACGCCCCACCGCGGTGAGACGACAACAGCACGCGCAAGCAGGCGAAACCCTCTTAACCAAACGGGTGCTTCCGGTGGTGAGCAGCGATGAGTCCGAAGCAGGGGTTCTTGCGGCGAGCAGGCGCAACCACCTAGCTTCTACGGAGACCAGTGGGTCGAAGAGAGACTTGATGACCGCACACGCGGCCATCTCTCCTATCTTTCCCGGGTCTAGAGGCCCAGAGCGCGCTTACCGCACCACCACCGGAGCCCAGCACATGTGTCACAACCCTTCCCGGGCTGTGCCCACTCAGGATCACGCGGGTGTCGCAAGCTCCGCATCACGAGAGCGCTGCCCTAAATGCCGCCTGCACGATGGCCACGCGGGGCGCCTAAACAACAACAGCCGCAGTCGGTTGGTGTGTATGTGTTTCCACTGGTGCTCAAAGGTCGGCCATCAGCCTTTCAGTGACCGGCCCATGCGCCTCACGGGCGGCATAGGCCAGAAAGCTTGAGCCACGAAGGCAGGTCCATCTGGCCTGCATCGCTTTGGCTGTTGTCCTTCAGGCGGACCGCGCGGTTCGTCAGATAACACCGGCACATGTCAAGACACGTCTGACATTGCATCAATGCCTGCTTCACCGCTACGATCCTTCAAGAAGAGACGTGCTCCCATCAACCTGTCAGTTTCCTGACCCGGTGTTCCTACTAGAAGTGAGGAGCGACAGCCTGTCGACAGAAGGTGCTGGTCACATTGGCCGGCACTGGGGATGCCTGGTCCTTATATACTCGTGCCACTCGGACCGCTCGCTCCTGAACGCCCGGTCGCGCGGAACTCCAGGCGATCAAGGGTGTAGCGCGGGACGTTTCAGTGGAAACGCCCGCGGCAACAGCGCGCGCAAGCAGACGGAGTATCGTCGCCGTACGACAAAATGGTGCTGCCCACGAGGAGTCCTGAGGCTGACGTCCTAAGGGCGCGCGAGCAAAAAACGCCTGCGAGCCAGCCTCAACGGAAACTGACGGGTTGAAGAGAGTCTTGCCTGATGGACCAGCCACGTCCATCGACCGATGCCACCTGCACATCGGTATATACTCATCTCTGTGAGTCCAGACTAGAGTCCCTTAGCGCGCTTAACCCGTGTCAGCACCATTACAGCACCTCTGCGACAAACTTTCCACCGGGCTTTGCCCACTTGGTATCGCATCCTTCCACAGGCTCACGCACATACATGCGCAGTCCCGAATGCCGCCCCGCCCCCCCGAGAACACTCCAGGAACGGTGTATGTTCAAGGGCGTGCAGAGGCAACCAGGCACAGGCACTGCGGCCCAAAGTCAGGAAGCGGAATGCGTTGTCAACGCCTGTTTCACAGATGCGACCCTCTTTCTTCCTTTCCATTTTGTAAACCGATCTTTCCACAGCTCTATCTTGTTGTATGAACCCACAAACCACCCAAGCCATCTCTTTCCTTGGCAGACAGATACACCGACCTCCGCCCGAATTTCTCCAGGCTGAGTTCCCCAATCCGCTCCTAGGAGTCTAAAGTCGCTTTTGACAACCGCTGCACGCACCACCGTGCCACACAGAACATCAAACATACGGCATCACCTCTTTCCTCTTCTTGGTTTGTGGCTCCTTCCTGCGGCCCTCCCTCAGCGGAGGCAGCGCTCACAGAGGTCCCAAACACATACCTTGGTTCGGAGCCCGCCTCGTGATCGGGAACAGGGCCCCTATATATAGGAAAAGCCCGTCTGTTGCACTCCCTTGGGCTTCCTCTCTGGCTCTCTGGCTCCTTCTCTGCTTGGGGCCCTCTGGCGGGGACCGGGGTCCGCAAGCCCAAAAGCCATCCAAACTAGAGACAACCAACTCCGGCTCCAATCTCTGCTTCTCTCCGGGCGCCCCTTGCCGGGAACGGGGCCCCTATATATAGGAAAAGCCCGTCTGTTGCACTCCCTTGGGCTTCCTCTCTGGCTCTCTGGCTCTGCTGCTTCTGGCGTCCCCGTTGCCTTCCTTTCCCTCTCTCTCCTTCTCTGCTTGGGGCCCTCTGGCAAAGACCGGGGCCCGCAAGCCCAAAACCCATCCAAACTACAGACCACCAACCCTCCGGCTGCAAGCTCTGCTTCTTTCCGGGCGCCCCTTGCCGGGAACGGGGCCCCTATATATAGGAAAAGCCCGTCTGTTGCACTCCCTTGGGCTTCCTCTCTGGCTCTCTGGCTCTGCTGCTTCTGGCTCTCTGGCTCTGCTGCTTCTGGCGTCCCCGTTGCCTTCCTTTCCGTCTCTCTACTTCTCTGCTTGGGGCCCTCTGGCGGGGACCGGGGACCGGGGCCCGCAAGCCCAAAAGCCACCCAAACTAGAGACAATCAACCCTCCGGCTCCAATCTCTGCTTCTCTCCGGGCGCCCCTTGCCGGGAACGGGGCCCCTATATATAGGAAAAGCCCGTCTGTTGCACTCCCTTGGGCTTCCTTTCTGGCTCTCTGGCTCTGCTGCTTCCGGCGTCCCCGTTGCCTTCCTTTCCCTCTCTCTCCTTCTCTGCTTGGGGCCGTCTGGCGGGGACCGGGCCCGCAAGCCCAAAAGCCACCCAAACCACAGACCACCAACCCTCCGGCTCCAATCTCTGCTTCTCTCCGGGCGCCCCTTGCCGGGAACGGGGCCCCTATATATAGGCAAAGCCCGTCTGTTGCACTCCCTTGGGCTTCCTCTCTGGCTCTCTGGCTCTGCTGCTTCTGGCTCTCTGGCTCTGCTGCTTCTGGCGTCCCCGTTGCTTTCCTTTCCCTCTCTCTCCTTCTCCTCCTTCTGTGCTTGGGGCCCTCTGGCGGGGACCGGGGCCCGCAAGCCCAAAAGCCACCCAAAGTAGAGACAACCAACCCTCCGGCTCCAATCTCTGCTTCTCTCCGGGCGCCCCTTGCCGGGAACGGGGCCCCTATATATAGGAAAAGCCCGTCTGTTGCTCTCCCTTGGGCTTCCTCTCTGGCTCTCTGGCTCTGCTGCTTCCGGCGTCCCCGTTGCCTTCCTTTCCCTCTCTCTCCTTCTCTGCTTGGGGCCCTCTGGCGGGGACCGGGGCCCGCAAGCCCAAAAGCCACCCAAACTACAGACCACCAACGCTCCGGCTCCAATCTCTGCTTCTCTCCGGGCGCCCCTTGCCGGGAACGGGGCCTATATATAGGCAAAGCCCGTCTGTTGCACTCCCTCTGGCTTCCTCTCTGGCTCTCTGGCTCTGCTGCCCGTTGCCTTCCTTTCCCTCTCTCTCCTTCTCCTCCTTCTCTGCTTGGGGCCCTCTGGCGGGGACCGGGGCCCGCAAGCCCAAAAGCCACCCAAACTACAGACCACCAACCCTCCGGCTCCAATCTCTGCTTCTCTCCGGGCGCCCCTTGCCGGGAACGGGGCCCCTATATATAGGCAAAGCCCGTCTGTTGCACTCCCTTGGGCTTCATCTCTGGCTCTCTGGCTCTGCTGCTTCTGGCGTCCCCGTTGCCTTCCTTTCCCTCTCTCTCCTTCTCTGCTTGGGGCCCTCTGGCGGGGACCGGGGCCCGCAAGCCCAAAAGCCACCCAAAGTAGAG